GTTGGGTTTTTTTGCGGTACGCGGGCCTCTCACTGTCGTGGCCTCTCCCGTTGCGGAGCACAGGCTCGGGACGCGCAGGCTCAACGGCCATGGCTCACGGGCCCAGCCGCTCCGTGGCATGTGGGATCTTCCCGGACTGGGGCACGAACCCGTGTCCCCTGCATCGGCAGGCGGACTCTCAGTCACTGCACCACCAGGGAAGCCCTCACTCCTGAGTTTTTATAAAACAGACGAAGTTAGAATAAAGCTGGGAGACAACCTTGCAGGGAGAGCAGTGTGTCACCCGAGGGGTAGCGCCGTTTGCTCTGCTTTGAGGATGGTTCGCGGCGTGCGGCGTGGCTCGGGAGGACCCTGGCTGGGGCTCCAGCTGAACCCCACAGCTGCCCCCGGCCCCCTGCCTCCCTGGGTCCCATGGGGGATTTCTCCCTGCAACTTGGAGCCACTTCTGTCATTTCCCTCTTGGAAAGGCTCTGGCAGTAGTGGTGCCCAGGCCAACTTCTATTCTTTTTTGTCACTTTTGAAAAACAACGTTATTGAAATATAATGTGCATACCGTACAATGCATCCATTTAAAGTAAGCTACTCAGTGTCTTTAGTATATTCACCAAGTTGTGCAACCATCACCACCATCTAATTTTAGAACCTTTTTACCCCTCCTGAAAAACAAAAACATAAACCCACTAGTAGTCAATCCCCATTCCCCCCACCCCCAGCCCTAAGCAACCACTAGTCCACTTTCTGTCTGTCTGGATCTGCCTATTGTGGGCGTTTCGTGTACATGGAATCAGACAATACGTGGTCTTTACTGACTGGCTTCTTTCACTTAGCACGTTCTCAAGGGTCGTCCACGTTGTAGCCTGTATCGGTATTTTACATGTTTTTGTTGCCAGATAATATTCCATTCCGACCACACTTCGGTTCCATTCATCATGTGGCGGACATTTGGGCTATTTCCACTTTTTAGCTATTGTGAATTTTGCTGCTATAAACATTTCTGTACTGTTTTTCCATTTTGAGATGTGAATAATTCAGTCTGGTAAAATGAGCAGTCTCTCCATGGCCGGGATAGACGGAGATCTCCGTGTTCACGCTCCGTGAGCTAGCAGGAGGGTCTGGAAACATCTTTCTCCACGAGGGCCTAACAAGACATTAATTTTCAGTGTTTAGTTAAATTCAGTCATAGATGCGTAAATGTACATTATAGTCATGGAAGCGGGAGAGAAAAATGCCAGACAAGCGTTTTCAAGAACGTTCCACCCGCCGGCCAGGCCCCCGCACAGGTGGGCGGGCACAATGCATGCACTTTCTCTGCCCGTCTGTCTCTCGGTCCAGCTGCCCTGGCTTTCTGCTTCAGAACCCAAGTTGATGGGCCAGACCAACGACCAAAAAGAAGAAGCCGAGCCCAGAGCCAGGTCCGGGGCCAGGACACAGCCCCTTCTGCTGGGTTGGAAATTCTGGAAGCCATCCTTGGGCCATTTGGCCATGGTAATGAGGCTGGCTAGTGCCCACTGGCCTTGGGTTGCCAGTGCTGAGTTGAGTGTGTAGGCTTACCCCGTTCCTGGTCCTCAGAGCCATTCCAAGGGGTCTGAATAGCCCAGACCTCTCTCTGCTCTCCCGCTCGGTCCGCCTTCCTGCTGGGAGGGTATTTAGCGCTCGCCTAAAGCTGGAACCCCAGCCCACTGTTTCTCTCCCTCACCATGGCAGCTCTCAAAACCATTCCCTTCGCTAATTATCCTGAACCAGCTCATCATTTCCCACACTGATGGCTCAGTAACAAGGACCCAGGGAGAGCAGCCACTTTTCTTCTCTGACCCTGCCCAGCGTTATCCCGGGGGACAGTCCTGGACGGCAGCCTTGCCTCAGAGATAAGACGCCTGGTGCAAATCCTTGCTCTTTTGCTCTCCGGTGAGTACAGCCAGAGAAAACAGGCCACAGAAAGGCCCACTGGTTTTCGGAAAGCTTCCGACAGAGCTGCATAGAGCACAGCAAATCTCCAACCAAGACGGTGGTTTCCGGTGTCTCTTGAAACCCTTGTGGATATCCAGGTGTCAAAGGTGCCTCACAAGGCCCAAGAAGTAGGACATCTTTCTCTAAAAGCGACTTCTGGAGTCTCCAGACGCCCGCTCTGTGTCTGAGCTGCTGAGTGACCGCAGTTGGCCCGTTGGCATCCAAGTTACTCCTGAAAGGGTCTCCCCAGGGGCATCTCTCTCAGCTGCTCTCAGATGTGAGTGGGGCCGACTCCTGATTCCCAGCACCACTCACGTGTAAGAAAAGTCTGAATTTAAGATACATATTAACCCGTACAATCAGTGTTTCTCCACCTTTTATTCTTCCTGCCGTACCAGAGAGGCTTGTAAGGCATTTTTATTTCCTAATTTGTCTCCTCCCCTGAAACACCACAGAAATACCGTTTACCTGTATATTCTCTGTACTTCTATCTGCGCTCTATACAAATAAAGAGTAAGATATTTTTGCCCCCCCAATGGCATGCCGTTACCTTTGCCACCAAAGCTTTCAAAGGCAGGGGTTTCATCTGCTCTGTTCACCGCTGTCACCTGGAGCCTAGAACAGTACCTGGCACATACCAGGCACCCGGTTGATGAAATAATTAGGGTTGGTGTCTCCCATGCCCCTGGGCGTCATGCAGCTCCAAGCACCGTGGTCTCTTCTGGTGTCTCCACCACTGCCCAGGGTGGTGGGTACCTCTTGCTGACCCCCAAGGAGGCATCAGGAAGCTGACAGCCTGCTCCTCTGTGCCATGCACAGGGGCCCCGCCCTTTGGTAGCACTGTCTGTTTGTCAAGGGCAAGTGACATTTGAGCCCCATGGAATAATTACGGCAGCCCCCAACTGCCTCTGTTTTTGCATCTCCTTAACTCGCCCATGGATTGGCAGTTCCTGAGACATTCTGTCTGGCCCAGCACAGCACACCGGGCTGCATCTGGGGACACACCGGGGGAGGGGCAGGCTGTCCTCATCACCAATTACAAACAAGCCCTCCATTGTCAGACGCACCATCTGTTTGCTTGCTTCCACCAATCGGGTGCCTGTATGCCCAGCATCACCAGGGCCGAGGGGCTGCAGGGGAGGGGGATCGAGAAGCCCCTTCGTGGGGAGAGGGTCAGCAGACGGGGCCCTGGGAAGCCCAGCCCCTCCACTGGAGGAAGACCCACCTAGAGATGTCCCACGATTGCCGTCTTCCAGGAGCACATGGTGCATTGGGGGAAGACAGGCAATCTAGATCATCGCATTGTCTAAAGGTCCCTCAGAAAACATACCAGTCCAGCACCAGGAAGCAACACTGCCCGAGAACTTCCTGTGCCCCTAGAGCTCGATCACCGTGTAAAGAAGGAGCCGTTAACAGTGGCTAGAAATCAAGTAAGACAGAGAAGCCTAGTGCCTCATCACGATCAGTTATTTATCCTGAAGTTTCCAATCCCACATAATTTTGGAGGGTGGGGAGGAGTGAAATTTTCATTGATGGATTGTACAGTACAGCTTCAGAGAAGCCCAGATTTCTTCCGGAGAGCCCCACCCAAGATCTGTCGGTGGTCCCTCCTCCGACGGCATCCGTCTTAGAAACTGGCCCTGGTCACCGTGCCTGCCTTGCTGGTGAGGTCAGCAGACAATCCAAGTTTACAACGGCAGCCGGACAGACAGCAGTCCATGTCATTGATAAATGCCCTTTGTCCAGATATGTCTAGTGACACTGAATTCAGGAGCATTGTGGCGGTTAGGGTGAGGAGCTGTCACCTGACGCGGAAAGAGACTGTGTTTGCTAAGGAAACCCACGTGGGAAATAGGATGGCCGTGGTGAGGGGGGAGTTGGGGTAGTTAAGAAAAACTATCACGAAGCACGAAAGAGCTCAGAGCCTCTCTGGGGTCTGGCAGGACTGCTGGGGTCCTGCTACTCTGTGCGTGAGGGTCCGATGTCGTCTCTGCAGGTTTCGCAGCCACACTCTGCACAGCACACTGCGTGCTCCCCCCCGGGGACTGTCACATCGCAGGTGCCACCCGTACTGAACTAACACACTGCGTACCACTCAAAACCTGTAAAATGAAACTTGGAGACATGTAAACTTGTACACTTGGAGGGTGTCAGTTATTTTTTCAAGGCATCCATAGAATTCCAATTACTGGTCTTGAAAACTCTTCTCTTTGACTGTATCTTAGACCAAATATTTAGGAAACATCAGGCAGCAGGGACAGGATACCAAGGTCAGTGCCACCCAGTGTCCGCGGGGCTCCCAAGAGCATCCGTCACACATCCTGGGAGAGCTAACATTACCTTCGTTTCACACCTATCTGGGTGACACCAGCTAGAATTCTGTCCTGCCGAGGGACTTGTAGGGGAATTTCCAATTCGTAATGATCTCTGAAACTGCAAGAACACTCGGGCCGCCCAGGAATAAACGTATTTTTAGCACTGTGCACAGATCAAGTTGGGCTGTGCGTGTGCCAGGCTTGCATTCACTTCATTTTATGTTCTTTCCCTTCAGATACGTAAAGGCCTCGGCGCGGTATTTGTACAAGGTAAGACTGACACTTCAGCGGATTGGCCAACCACCCTGCTTATTCACTAACCCATCTCCCTCCGTGGCTGACTCAACGCTGAGATGCCCACAGGTTCCTGCCTCCTGCTCTCCTCCACAGGGGCTCTGCCCTGCGTGTCTGCACTGCCTGCCCACCCGGGAAACCCAGGCTGGCCTTTTTTCGGCCCCTGTACTCCGGGTGGAATCCCACACCAACACCTGCCATCCCAGAAAAGGTCTTTGTCACCCGCCCTTTTGTGTGCGGGGCCTCGGGGAGCCAGTGGACCTGGGGCCGCCCCCTTTTTTGTCGCCGAGCCAGGAGGAGCAGGGTCTTGAGATGGGCTGATAAGATGCAGCACGTGCGGGCTGGCCTTTGACCGTTGGCCTTAATGGGGCCTCCGAGGCCTGGGCTGGGGAGGGCAGGTCGTCCCAGGTCCGCTGAATGGAACAGCTGAGAAAGGAAGAGCAGACAAAAGCTGGGGGAATCTCAGAGGGTGGAGAACCCCGGGATTGCTGTGGTTTAGGACCCAGAGGGCAGGCCAGCCACGGCAGGTGTGACCTCCGTGCGCCTCCCCTTTCTGCCCCGGTCTGGAGTCCAGGCCCTTCCTGTGCGCCCCAATGGATGGCAGACACCCCGCAGCAGTGCTGCAGAAAAGCCTCTTGGGGTGGCCTGGGCTGCACCCACTCATGGGCTCGTAGGTGGAAGGGAGAGCAGATGCTAGGGCAGGTCAGGGAGCGAGGTGTCATTTATCAACCGCGTCACCCACAGTGGGGCCGCAGCACAGACGCCGTCACTGCCTGAGTAGATGTGGAGGGGGAAGTTAGAGTCTAGATTTCTTGGTTTAGCCGAAGCACTGCCCACCTCCCGCAGGCAGGGCCACTGCCACAGGGAGCTGACCCTCCAACCCAGCTGCCCTTTCTTAGCCCCTCAGCCACGGAATTGCCCCAACCCCGGGCTCACTGGGGCCAGCCCCCAGAGCGGCACGAGCCACAAAGCCCAGGTGCCCATGTCGGCCGGGCAGAGCAGCTGTACAGTCCCCTCCAGCAGTGGGGATGCGTGCAAAAGCCTTTATTTGCTGGGACCCCGTATCCACACATGTCCTCCTGCCCCTCCACAAAGGTGGCCAAGTGGGGCTCCAGTGTCCTTTGAACAGACCCCCGGCTTCCAGCTCGAGGAAAGGCCGGGCGGGGGCAGCGGCTGTCAGCAGCCAGGAGTGGAATCGCCCCCTTTGCGGCCAGCCTGCTCGGTCCGCAGCTGCCGCCTCCCCATCAATCACGGGGTACAGTGGGCACAACGGGAGCCAGGGGACGGGCCAACAGAAAGGTGGGGACTGGAGGAATGCCGGGGGTGTGCAGGGCAGGCTCCTGCCCGGGCGTGACCTTCCCGGGGCACCCGGTGGTGGGTCCACTGTCCTCAGATGCACGAAGGCCGCTTTGCTGCAAGAGCTTCACAGCTCGTCAAAGTTGGCATCACCCTGCCCACCCGCCACGCCGCAGTGCAGGACCGAGAGGGGCCCCCTCCTGCCTCCCTGGTAGGGGTGGAAGGTTAAATGTTTCCCTTCTGGCCCAGAAGTACTCTCACTTAATATCAGGTCTTTGAACATCACTTTATCTCTTTCATTTACTTGCTTTTTGGGGGGAAGGGGGGTTCCTCTCCCAATCGATCTGATTCCAAAGTGGGTGGGGTGGTGCCTAGTTAATAACGTGAAGTCTTACACAATTCGAAGTGAAGGTATTCAAACTAGAATCGTACCTGGGATTCAGTCAGGGCTGTTCGCCCTGCGGCCCGCTCCCCTGGGCCACATGCTGATGCGATGCCCACCTCTGGCTCCAGGGTGATGGGGCGACGTAACCAACACTGCCTCCACCTCTGATGGCAGTACAGCTCTGCTGCTTTTAGCGAAAGCAGCCTGTTTTCAAAGACGAAAACAGCAGGAGAGAGACCCACAACTCTTCTCTCTGCCGTGACCTTCCTGGGACCAGAGGGAGGAGACAGAAGCCCGGGCTGGGGGACCTTAAAGCTGAATTTCGGAACAGCACCGGGGAAGGTGGTCTCCTTGGGTCCAGGCATGTTTGCAGGTATTGATTCCAGAGGCACTCCCTGGAAACAATGAGGTCAGATCCGAAAATGACAGAAGATGCTGTGAATAAGGTCACTGCGTACATTAATTTCAAAGGCCAGTAATGATGGAAATGGCAGTAGCCAAAGCCCCAGAAGTGAAGGATGTCGGGAGAAGGTTAGAAAGCCTGCTTTTGAGGAAGCTGGGGCGCAGCCCAGCAGGGTTTAAAAATAGGTTATTAGGAGGGTGACGAAACGGTCCTCCCTCGAAGCACTGCCCAGGGGACCTGCCTCAGCAACCGCGGCCCGGTGTTGCAGCAGCGGGCGCCTGGGTTCCTCCGAGCAGCCCTGGGGACTGGGGGCGCGGCGGGCACGCAGGCTTCAGCTTCATTCCTTTTTCCCTCTGGAGCTAGACAGCTGTAGGCGCTTCTGGACGCATTCCATTAGTCCTGACCTCCTGTCTCAGACCCCTTGGGGAATAATCGAGTTGTAACTCCTGGTGTAAAGTACCAGCATGTAGATCCGTGTAAATAATAACACCGACCGATCCACAAGCTACCCCTGAAATTTTCTTGCTCTTTCGTTGGCTCTGGGCCGTGCTGCTCCTTTGGCTTCCCCCATTCCCCGCACTGTCTTCAGTGCCTTTTCTCTTCACTCTTTATTGCAGATTGGACGGTAAGGCCCAGTGAACTTCAAAAAGATTCATAGCTCCCTTTATGCTGCAGGAAAGGCCAGAGCAAAGGCTGGGAAGAAAGACCTTGGTCTGTGGGTTCATTCAGCAAACACCCCTGCACGCACAGCTCCGGGCGGGGGTCCAGCCCTCTTCCAGGGGCCGTGGCACGTCCCCCCTCCAACCTGTGCCCACGTGGGCCTCCCTCTGCTTCCTTCCAGGGCCCTGGCCGCCAGGCTGAGCCTCCTGCACGGCACCTCTCGGGGAGTGTGAGACGGCTGAGAGTCCCCCACTTCCCCACCCGAATCCCCAAACCCAGACTCCGGGAACATCACTGCCCTGCTGGTGCCCTCAGCCGGTCTCCCCATTCACCGTCTTCTGAAGTTGAAGAGGAATCCCACCGAAATGCTGTGGATCGGACTTTCAAACTAGGCGGTAGCATCTGAGGAACCCTGGGCTTCGAAACAAGAAAAGAAAAAGTCACCAACAACCGGAGACTCGCCCACTGTCACGCGGCGCCGGTGGGGCTGCCCTAGCAGAGGAAAACGGAGAAGGTTCCAGGCTTTCCGGGAGGGCAGGGGGCAGCTGACTCTGTCCGCCGGTCGTTTATAAACCCATCATGTCTCACCGAGGGGCCGGTTGTTGGAGGAATGTTCCCTGCCTTGATTTTGCTCATTCTTCTTCTGTTAGGATTTATGGTTAGTCCAGAATTTCATCATCATGGAAATTGGCTTTCCCTAGAGTCTCGAGCCCGGGAGAAGTTTTACCTCCGTTGCTGTGTGTATTCCACCTGGTTCCTGATGCCTGCTAACTGAGGAGAGGTTTCCTGCCCCTGGCCCTGCTGGAGGCCCTCCAGGTGATGATGGTGAAGCTTCTATCACAGAGCGCTCAGGTGATTCTAGAAACACAGGGTCCTGTCCCTGCAAAGCTCCCTTCCAGGCACCTCCGAAGGCTTTGCCCTGTGGTGCCCTGCCGGCAGGGGCCTCACACACGTTTCCTGACACACAGAGCTTTAGGGTGACAGATCCCGAGCAGAGGGTGTGTGATCCCTACTTTGTACCCATTTGCCTCCCCAAGGAAGGCCTGTTGCATCTTTTTTTAAAAAAAAAGAAAGAAAGCCCCAACTTCCGTCTGTGCTTGCCGGGCGCTCTTGCTGGGGTCGGGGTGTTGGGTGCAGGCCCTCTGCTTGTCATCTAGGCCCTCGGGCCATCTGCGGAGTAAGCCCAGGGCTCAACAGGGGAGCCGCCAGCTAAGGGCTTGGAAAGGTCTCCGTGCAGGTGCTTCCCCACCTCTCCACTCTTGCCCTCACCTGTGCACACCCCCAGCCTACCTTGGCCACCTTCCCGCTGAGCCCACTCTCCCACAGAGCTGCCGTTTCCCCTGACCACCCAGGTCCAGGTGGCTGGGCTGTTACCCGACGTTGGCAGGAGAGGTGGGCAGACCCAGGAGCCAGCCTTGGTGTGGGGACAGTGGAGAAAGGCTTTCCTGGAAGGAGGGGACTTCTAATTCTCCAGGGAGCTTGTTCTTCTGTTTTACAGAGGATTGCAGGTAGGACTTGAGGCCAGGCCCACAGAAAGGGGGAGCTCGAGCACCGCTGGGACCTGAGAGAACCAGGTTCATTCCAAACAGAGGCCGTGCTCTGGGCTGGCCTGTAAACGGGGCCGATTTGTTGCTTCATTGGGGGCTTAGTGGCAACATAAAGGGTGACTGGAAGTGACAGCCTTTTCTGCTGTGTTAGCAGCTGTCACGATTCTTATCTTCCTGGGCACCCCCTGCCCGACCTTAAGTGAGGTGGACTGTCTGCTTGGTGTGCTTTGGCCCACGTGCCTCTGGGCTCAGCACTCTTACCGCTGCTCCACGTGGTGCCTCATTCCTGCGGGAAGGGCATCGCATGCTCCTGGGCTCCTGAGTGCCACGGAAGCTCCAGCTTCTGGGAGAATGTGTCACCTTCAGGCTCTAGAATACCCCTGTTGCAGAATTCTTGGATTTAGTCAGTGTCAGGATTCAGAATCATATTGAACCCCCCCCCCCCGGACTCTTGCACCATGATTCCACTTCATCTCCAGGAACGAGTCCTGACCTGGAGTGGGAAATCCGGTTGTAGGTAGCAAATAGGTAGACCTTCCTATAATCCCTAATGATTTTTGGCAGCCCCATGACCCTGGAGGACAGCCAGAAGTTTTATGGCTCTTAGCAGTAACAGCTTTGGTTTGGAGATTTGGAACCGGGAGACAGGAACTCTAGCGACCAGTTTTGCTTGCACTCACGTGCACTTGAATCGTTCATGTTATTTGGGGTGGAAAATTGAAATGATCAAGTTTTTTTTTTTTTTTTTCACTTAGAAAAGCAAATATCGAGCTTCTGTAATAAATGCCTTTCAGCAAAATTGCCGAGGATCACTCATCCGGTGGGGACCCCACCTGAGTCACAGTGCTGACTCGTCACATTAGTAGGTCGGCCATCTGTAAACAGAAGTGGCCCTAAGTGGCCCAAAATAGATAAGACTTGCTGGTTTCCAGGCAGGGCCAGGCCAGTCCCCTCACTTCTCTGCACGCTGATTTCCATCTGAAGCAAAGATGTCGTTCTGTAGTCTCACTGAGTATGTTTTTGTACTTAAAAAAATAGTAATTCCACAAAATGATGACATTTGAAGTGGTAAAACCTTAAGTAGACAGCAGTGAGGACTTGTAGCTCGGGTAAGCGACTGTCACAGCGTCTTCCTGCGGTTAAGGCTGCAGTTCCCGACGGCCACTGGGAAGGAGGGGGTTTCAGCCTTGACTCTATGAGAGAGGCTGGCTTATGGGACCTTAGCCTTACCAACAAGATCCTGTGGATCGGTAGACAATGCAAATCACGTCTTCCTGACCTTCCTCAGGTGTGACCACCCGTGCTTCGTTCACTGTCATATCTGTATCATCTGGAGGTTTGAAGGACGCTTTCATGTTTACTGTGATGTCGTAGATGTAACTGTGCTACCTTCATAGCTACTGAAGGGGAATGTCCACATCCGAAGGGAAGTTCAACAGGAAACAGCCATGTTTTAGTTGCACTCAGTACCTATGTATGACATACACATTAAGTGAATGTTTTCTTGTGTTTTCAGGTCTACAATATTTAGTACATGTAAATGAGGATGAAATTTGATAAACATGGTAAATTAAGTTATAGGGTGTCATTTGATTTCTATCTTGCTGTCTCTTATTATTTAATTTTCCTGATGCTCCACATCTGGGCTTATACCTCCGTCGGTGTAGACTTTGCCTGTAACCCACTTGGCAGGCATGGTGCCCCGTGGCGAGGGGTGACCCTCGCCCGGAGAAGCACACGGCCCACCGATGGCCACTACCTGACTCTCCAGTTTGCCCTCTGTCTTTAATTCTGATTTACTGTGACGACTTAATAAAGTAGAAACACAGTACTCATGTGCCACGTTTCTCTTATTTTCATTATAGTTTGTAGGAAAATAAAGTTTATCCTGGCATCTAACAAAAGATGGTTTACATTCTTATCAGACGAAGTTGTTCAAAAGCATTTTTTTGAACCAAAGCCTTAATATGTATCCAGAATGGTAGCCAGTATGGATACAGGGAGGTTTGCCAATGTATTCATGTAAAAATTGACCTCTCAGTTCATACCCTGGAATGCCAAGACCAAGCATCATTGATCTCCTATATCCAAGTCCCTCCTGTTTTTGTGATTAAATAGCCAGGTGTGTATCAAAGCCCACAGTGAGCCCCGGCCTGGGCTCCCGTCTCTCCAGGGCAGCCTCTGCACCAGCCACCCTTCCAGAGGTCTGGAGTCCCTGACCCTGCTGAGCAAGAGGCCAGCTTTGAGGGTTTGTCTTGTGAAGAAGTGGTAGGAAGGATGTAATAACGCCTCCTGTTGGTGTGCTGAAGCCCGGTTGTGGCCCCAACTCCGGACTCCAGCCACATTCGGACCACCTGGCCAGGGGGCCCCTGCCAGCATCCTGAGCTACTCCCATGCTCTGGACGGCAGGGAACTTCCAGGACGTTAGACAGTCAAGCTTTGTAAAAAGCATCCATTCGTCCATCTGCAAATATTTGTTGAGTACCGATTACTTACAAGACATTTAGTGACCTCCACAGGGATCCAGCTGCCTTCCTGGGAGTCGAGTAGAGCCTGAATCCATTTGGCTTTTTTTAGCTTTTGACTGTTAGCGAGAGCTCGCTTGAAGGTATGTTGTGCCTTTAATACTTGGTCCCTCATAAAAGGAAGCGGGATGATTTTATTCGTTACAGAGGCTTCGTAAGATACTGAGTCCTACCCAACCCCCCACCTAGATTCCCATCATGAGGTCTCGGTAGAGACCCATCGTCTGTTTCTTTCAAGCCTCCCTAGCATTCTGAGCTGCAGAAGGATTGGGGTTGAGGCGCTTGGACCAGCCCCATCGAGCAGCCCTCACCCGCAGTCCCTCCCGCATGTGCATCCTGGAGGGGCCGGGAGTGTGAGGCACTGGGGAGACCGGGAGGGCTGCCTCAGGGCAGCACCCGCTCTCCTCTCTAGATGCAGATGTTTGTCCACTTCTGTACACCTCTGAGGTAGTGCTATGGTCCTGTGTCTGTGTGTAAACTAAATCGGGGCCACTTGATTTGTTAAACAGTTTATGTCAAGGGGAACTATTATCATTCACCTTCTTTCTATAGATGGCAATGGTTTTAATTGCCTTTCATTTTTCAAATCAAAAAGTGGAAGTCATGAATGTGGAGCCCAGTGGACGTACTCTGATGCACCCGGCTCACCGAGGCCCAACTGTCTAGTCGGAAGGGCCATCCCTCCACTCCTACCACCTCCTTCTACAGCTGTTGAAACCCAGGCTCCCTGGAGCCCCGCAGCTGGAAAGTGGGGCTCCAGGCAGGGGCCCCATTTCTTGATGACACTTACCTCGGCAGCAGGCACCGTTCTTAACCAGTGAACGCGTTCCTTTCGGCTTCGTGAAAATGTAGCTTCGTGTTCCTTTCAGCCACCAGGCACGTTTCCCTGAGACCAAGTCTGAAGCCACCTGGCAGTCCTCACGCAGACCAGGCCCAACGAAGACCAGGGAACTTGTTTCCTGGGAGACCCTCCCTGTGGGCAGAGGACGCTGGGCCTGGCCTTTCTCTGGGGCCCCAGGAACTGCTGGATGGTACCTCTCTGGAAAGATGAATTTGCTCACATCTTCAGATCTGAACAGTGGGCTTCTGGCAAAGAACCGGCACGAGAGCAGGCTTCCCAAGCTTGGTGGCGGTGATGCCTGGGCAGGCTTGCCACCCTCTGGAAGGACCCTCTGCTCTCTGCACACACATATCCTCAGAGTCATTGAGCACTTGAGGAAGTTTGGCCAAAATTTTCTGTTCAATGTCTCCTGAAAAAAGTTCTATGTTCAGGAGTTCAAGGGAAAGGAGGGAAAGACACATCAATGGCCTCACATACCCTTAGGGTGGCCCTCGAGTGCAGTGGAAAGAAGCCTGCTCCCACGACCTACATCAGAGGTTCTTTGTACTCAGCTCCAGCCACACCTCCTGCCCCAGATAACAAAGCATGGCCAGCTGACACCCCAGGGAGTCAGGGGCATCTATAATCATAGGAATACTCTCTTCCCCAAATCAAATGCTCTCCAACTCGCCCTCCACTACAATCCAACAACAGCAACAAAAGCATCTGAAATGATACTTTGAGTAATATTAAAGAATTTTCTGGAATTGGAGATTACTTCCTTTTTGTCGTGAACATTTTAATTGAAAAATACTTCTGCTACCTAAGTCTCCACTAGCCTATGTTAAATTGGATGAGATGAAAGGGGTGAGAATTTATAACCAGCTGTCATGGTAAGAAATATTTGTCTGGAAGATTCTGCCTCTTACAGAACAAGGGAGAAATTAGGAATTCTCCCTGGCGGTCCAGTGGTTAGGACCCTGTGCTTTCACTGCCGAGGGCGCAAGTTCGATCCCTGGTCGGGGAACTAAGATCCCACAAGCTGCACGTTGCGGCCAAGAAAAAAAAAGAAAAGAAAAATTAGGAATTCTCAGCAGCCTCCCTTCTGGACCGTGTCAGATATAAAAACACTGACTAGATTCTTTTTTAAAACATTCAAACCAAAATATTCCCACCACAAATATCAGATGACATTGTCTATGTGATCAAAGTTCTATTTTTAACATTATTTGAGGAAATAAAGAAAAAAATGAATAAATTCTGTCTGGGACAAGAATACAGTTCCCTGTGCGTCCCGGTGTAATTTTCAATCTTCCACTTACATGTCCCACCTCACCCTTTAGCAAGACACGTGTTGGGTTTGACGGAGAATCTTTTCTATAAAGAGGTCACGCTCACCAGCTTCCGCCTTGAAGCGGGGTCCTGGGGGCCTGAAAATTGGAGTGTGGCTCTTGGGCGGGTGTGAAGTGGGCAGGGGCTTGCTATTAGAGCTCCTGAAAGGATCTTTCTGGCTTCGGAATAGAGCCTGGCAAAGAAAAGCTTTTTTCCATGAATACTCGGGGACTGCCCTCTGCTGCTCCGATGGCAGAGGTGAGCACTTGTGATCAATATTCCCTCAGAAAAGGCCGCTGGGCTAAGTGCAGGCAGAGGGGCTCCCAGCAGGCCTCCCTCCCTCCCAGCAGGCAGAGCACCCGCAGCAAAGCCCTCCCCCCGCCACGCGCCCCCAACACTTGGAACCAGCGAGGGTGGCACGTGAATGGCATCACCTCCCCCTCCCTTTAAAAACTGTCACCTCGTCTTGTCCTCCATGTGGATGGCTGATTATGGGCCACTGGAAACAGCTACGTCCATCCCCTTCCTCCAGGGAAGTTGTGGCATTTTCATTTTAGGCACCGGGAAAAGGAAGGTCTGCCGCTGTTTAACCCCTGAAAGAGAGGGCAGTGCCGGGAAGAAAACGCAAAACGGTGGCTTCTCTTAATCAAGGAAGATTGATTACTGATCAGCGCTGAGATTTTAATGAAATAGCCGAAGTATAGATTTGTACTTTACACCGTGGGTTCTATACTTTTTTCCTTCTAAAACTAGACATCTGCCCGCCGCCCGTCAAACCCCCGATCAGTAAACAGATTCTCTGCAGATTAACGCAAAGACACAGGCTTTCCTTTCTTACCGAAATAGCATTTGACAACACACATCATTCTGTAGCTTTCTCTTTAAGCTTTGCAATATGTCATGGGCACCCCTCCCTTAATTTATCCTTTTAATAGTTGCGGGACTTTCCTGGTGGAGCAGTGGTTAAGAATCTGCCTGCCACTGCAGGGGACACACGTTCGAGCCCTGGTCCGGGAAGATCCCACATGCCACGGAGCAACTCAGCCTGTGCGCCACAACTACTGAGCCTGCACTCTAGAGCCCACAAGCCACAACTACTGGGCCCGTGTGCCACAACTACTGAAGCCCGCATGCCACAGCTACTGAAGCCCACGTGCCTAGCGCCCGTGCTCCGCAACAAGAGAAGCCACCACAATGAGAAGCCCGCGCACCGCAACGAAGAGTAGCCCCCGCTCGCTGCAACAAAGCCCACGCAGCAGTGAAGACCCAATGCAGCCAAAATAATAATAATAATAATTAATTAAGAACAAATAGTTGCATATTATTCCTTAGTGTAGACACACCTTTCTTTACTCAACCATCTGTGGACATGTGGGTGGTCTCCAATGTTTGTTATAACAAGCGCACCTGTGATCAACACCATCTCACCTTACAGTTAACATAGAGCCACTGCTTTTATTTCTGTGAGTTAAATTCCCAAATGTGAAATTACTGAGGCAGAAGGTAGATGTAATTTCTTTGTGAATTTTATAAAATTATTTTATCTTTAGCTTCCTGTTGATTTTTAGTGGAGCTAAATATTTTCTCACGTTTCTTTACTAACTATAGGTCCATATTTGTGAATTGTGCATTTACTTCTATTAATCTGTTGCAATTTTTTATGTTTTTCTTCTCAGTTTTTATGAGCTTTTATGTAATTAAGTTTGTAGCAAAACATACTTTTTCATATTTAGCTCTTAGTGTTCACTATTTTTTCAAGTAAAAAATGTAAGGTATGCAAAATATTAAGATTATCAAAGACAGTAGACGTAATTTTAGCCCTAATAGACTATTTGGTCATTTTAGAATTCTGTAACGTCAGCTTTGGGGGTCTATAAAAAAGCGAAGCGGAGACCAGGGTCTTCCCATGTTTGCAGGAGGGAACTCATTAAGTTACCCACCTGCTTAAGAAAAGGAAACGTTGTTTTAACGGGGGCACCCAGGTAAAAGGCAGGATTTCAGCCGCGATAAAATGAGGCCTTTATTGACTAAAGAAAGTGAGGCCTCCCTTCGGCTTACTGCCCCCCACACGCCCCATGTTTCCTTCCATGATGGCGCTCCAAGGAATTTCCTGACTTTGAAGATGTTTCTGAAAATACTAACATATATGCATCA